GACGGAACCTAACCAACCCTACCTAACCTAACCTATCTTTATAGGTTAGGTTACGTTAGGTAGCCGACAAAGTTAGGTTAGGCTAGGTTAGGTAGGTTAGGTAGCCGAAAAAAGATTAATTCATGAAACTTGGCTTATTAGGCAAATCGGGCCTTGCATAGTAGGCTGAGAAGTGCGTTCTGGCTACTAGGTACGACATATATATATATATATATATATATATATATATATATATATATATATATATATATATATATATATATACACACACACACCTGTTCATCGACACTATGGGTGGTGGACCCATGGTATCCAGCGCCGCCCTTTAATTCTTTCTAAAAATAATAAATTATAATCTGCGGTTCAAAATTCCCCTGGGGAACGCGAGTCAATTTTTAGAAGATTGTTGCCAATTTGGGCTCACGCTCTCAAAACGGCTGGTTACCCCTGACCTATAGCAATAGTCTGAAAGATCCACCACCAGATTTCCCCCACACATGCTCCTTTGATCTGCACACGACTCCTGTACACGCGAGTCTGCTCAACACCTGCACACCGTACACACGTCTGCTCAACACCTGCACACCGTACACACGTCTGCTCAACACCTGCACACCGTACACACGTCTGCTCAACACCTGCACACCGTACACACGTCTGCTCAACACCTGCACACCGTACACATGTCTGCTCAACACCTGCACACCGTACACACGTCTGCTCAACACCTGCACACCGTACACACGTCTGCTCAACACCTGCACACCGTACACACGTCTGCTCAACACCTGCACACCGTACACACGTCTGCTCAACACCTGCACACCGTACACATGTCTGCTCAACACCTGCACACCGTACACACGTCTGCTCAACACCTGCACACCGTACACATGTCTGCTCAACACCTGCACACCGTACACACGTCTGCTCAACACCTGCACACCGTACACACGTCTGCTCAACCCCTGCACACCGTACACACGTCTGCTCAACACCTGCACACCGTACACATGTCTGCTCAACACCTGCACACCGTACACATGTCTGCTCAACACCTGCACACCGTACACATGTCTGCTCAACACCTGCACACCGTACACACGTCTGCTCAACACCTGCACACCGTACACACGTCTGCTCAACACCTGCACACCGTACACACGTCTGCTCAACACCTGCACACCGTACACACGTCTGCTCAACACCAGCACACCGTACACACGTCTGCTCAACACCTGCACACCGTACACATGTCTGCTCAACACCTGCACACCGTACACATGTCTGCTCAACACCTGCACACCGTACACACGTCTGCTCAACACCTGCACACCGTACACACGTCTGCTCAACACCTGCACACCGTACACACGTCTGCTCAACACCTGCACACCGTACACACGTCTGCTCAACACCTGCACACCGTACACACGTCTGCTCAACACCTGCACACCGTACACACATCTGCTCAACACCTGCACACCGTACACACGTCTGCTCAACACCTGCACACCGTACACACGTCTGCTCAACACCTGCACACCGTACACACATCTGCTCAACACCTGCACACCGTACACACGTCTGCTCAACACCTGCACACCGTACACACGTCTGCTCAACACCTGCACACCGTACACACGTCTGCTCAACACCTGCACACCGTACACACATCTGCTCAACACCTGCACACCGTACACACGTCTGCTCAACACCTGCACACCGTACACACATCTGCTCAACACCTGCACACCGTACACACGTCTGCTCAACACCTGCACACCGTACACACATCTGCTCAACACCTGCATGGGTAAAATAAGTGCACGAATACACATGCATTACGCCTAGATGGACGGTTGAGAAGCGGAGCCACAGAGCCGAAGTTCAACCCCCCCGCAAGAACAACAAGGTGAGCACAACACTGTTTAACACACAATACACAAATGTGTTATTTAACCATCCATCATCTCTCAGCCTCCGCCCTCTCCCTCTCCGTCTGTCTCATCCCTGTAGGCCTAACCTCCCCCCCCACATTCCTCCTGTTTCAGTTCGTTAAGTTTCACTTCTATAGGCCTAACGATCCCCCCCCCTTGTTTTTCGATCTGGATTAAATATTCATTATCCAACTCTACAGTGAACAGTGGAACAGTGAACACTCCCTGTTCACTGTTTCTGGATAACTAAGTATCTCCTGTTAAGTTCTGATGTGTAATGTGGGGTTTTAAATCGGCCAATATCCACGTTATCTGATATCCACGTTATCTGTTATCCACGTTATCTGTTATCCACGTTATCTGTTATCCACGTTATCTGTTATCCACGTTTATGATGACAAAAATCCTGAAGTAGATATAATAGAAGTAGATATAATAGTATATGTGAAAAACATGAAGTAGATATAATAGATATTAAAACAAGACTTGAGGGAAAGGGCATGATTATTTCAGTAAGAACACGGACGCAGACTCGTCCACAACAGACGCAGACTCGTCCACAACAGACGCAGACTCGTCCACAACAGACGCAGACTCGGCAACAACAGACACAGACTCGTCCACAACAGTCACAGACTCGTCCATAACAGACGTAGACTCGTCCACAACAGACACAGACTCGTCCATAACAGTCACAGACTCGTCCACAACAGACACAGACTCGTCCACAACAGACGTAGACTCAACAACAGACGCAGACTCGTCCACAACAGACACAAACTCGTCCACAACAGACGTAGACTCAACAACAGACGCAGACTCGTCCACAACAGACACAGACTCGTCCATAACAGACACAGACTCGTCCACAACAGACACACACTCGTCCATAACAGACGTAGACTCAACAACAGACACAGACTGGTCCACAACAGACACAGACTCGTCCACAACAGACACAGACTCGTCCATAACAGACACAGACTGATCCACAACAGACACAGACTCGTCCATAACAGACGTAGACTCAACAACAGACAGAGACTCGTCCACAACTGACACAGACTCGTCCACAACAGACACAGACTCGTCCACAACAGACACAGACACGTCCACAGCAGACACAGACACGTCCACAACAGACGTAGACTCAACAACAGACGCAGACTCGTCCACAACAGACACAGACTCGTCCACAACAGACGTAGACTCAACAACAGATAGGGACTCGTCCACAACAGACACAGACTCGTCCACAACAGACACAGACTCGTCCACAACAGACACAGACTCGTCCACAACAGACGTAGACTCAACAACAGACACAGACTCGCCCATAACAGACACAGACTCGTCCACAACAGACACAGACTCGCCCATAACAGACACAGACTCGTCCACAACAGACACAGACTCGTCCACAACAGACGTAGACTCAACAACAGACACAGACTCGCCCACAACAGACACAGACTCGTCCACAACAGACACAGACTCGTCCACAACAGACGTAGACTCAACAACAGACACAGACTCGTCCACAACAGACACAGACTCGTCCACAACAGACACAGACTCGTCCACAACAGACACAGACTCGTCCACAACAGACGTAGACTCAACAACAGACACAGACTCGTCCACAACAGACACAGACTCGTCCACAACAGACGTAGACTCAACAACAGACACAGACTCGCCCACAACAGACACAGACTCGTCCACAACAGACACAGACTCGTCCACAACAGACACAGACTCGTCCACAACAGACACAGACTCGCCCACAACAGACACAGACTCGTCCACAACAGACACAGACTCGTCCACAACAGACGTAGACTCAACAACAGACACAGACTCGCCCACAACAGATACAGACTCGTCCACAACAGACACAGACTCGTCCACAACAGACGTAGACTCAACAACAGACACAGACTCGCCCACAACAGACACAGACTCGTCCACAACAGACGTAGACTCAACAACAGACACAGACTCGCCCACAACAGACACAGACTCGTCCACAACAGACGTAGACTCAACAACAGACACAGACTCGCCCCCCCCCCTACCTGTCTGCCCAAACGGTGCTACCCTCCCCGACCTCCTCCCGTCAGCCGGCTATCAAAGGGATTTACGACGTTCTTAAAGAGCGCGCCTATAAAAGCCTGGATAAGACTCGTGGACGATTATGTGCTCCAAAAAGAGAGCCAACTTTTCACTCTAAGCTCACTAACACCCAGACCACGACGGTGAACCTCCTGACACACACACACACACACACACACACACACACACACACACACACACACGCACGCTCGCGCACGCACGCTCGCGCACACACGTGCGCACACACACACGCTCGCACACACACGCGCGCGCACACACACACACACACACAAAAAGGAAATTCCAGGAAGTCTTCACACCAGAGCAAGGAGAAGTCCCAGAGATAAAAAGAGGGAACATCAACCCAGACACCACTAGAGGAGTTTGCGATTACCAGTGGGGAGGTGAGGAAGCATCTGATAGATTTGGACGTGACAAAGGCTATAGGCCCGGATGGAATCTCACCATGGATTCTAAAGGAAGGAGCAGAAGCTCTGTGCCTACCACTCTCCATAGTGTATAACAAGTCACTGGTAACAGGCGAACTGTCAAAAATTTGGAAGAGGGCCAATGTAGTCCCAATATACAAGAAGGGTGATAGGCAGGAGGCACTGAACTACAGGCCAGTGTCCCTAACTTACATACCATGCAAGATGATGGAAAAGATTGTGCGAAAAAAGCTAGTGGAACATCTGGAGCAAAAGAACTTTCTAAAACATCAACATGGGTTCAGAGATGGCAAATCATGCCTAACAGGATTAATTGAGTTCTATGACCAGGCAACAAAAATCAGGCAAGAGAGAGAGGGCTGGGCCGATTGCATATTTCTGGACTGCCAGAAAACTTTTGACACAGTACCACATAAGAGACTAGTGCACAAACTGGAGATGCAGGCAGGAGTGAAAGGGAAGGTACTCCACTGGATAAGGGAGTACCTAAGCAACAGGACACAGCGAGTCACCGTGAGAGGTGAGGTCTCGGAATGGCGGGGAGTCACCAGTGGAGTTCCACAGGAATCAGTCCTTGGACCTATACTGTTTCTGATATACGTAAATGATCTCCCAGAAGGAATTGACTCGTTCCTCTCGATGTTTGTTGATGATGCAAAAATTATGAGGAGGATCAGGACAGAGGAGAGTATGAGGCTATAAGATGACCTAGACAAACTGAAGGAATGGTCCGACAAATGGCTACTAAAGTTCAACCCAAGTAAATGTAAGGTAATGGAACTAGGAGGAGGAACTAGGAGGCCAGTCACTAGATACCGAATGGGGGATGAAGTCCTTCACGAAACGGACAGAAAGATCTGGGAGTTGATATCAAGCCAAACCTGTCTCCTGAAGCCCACATCAAAAGAATAACATCAGCGGCCTATGCGAGGCTGGCTAACATCAGAACTGCTTTCAGAAACCTGTGAAAGGAATCCATCAGAACCTTGTGTACCACATATGTAAGGCCAATCTTTAAGTATGCAGCCCCAGCATGGAGCCCGTATCTAGTCAAGCACAAGACGAAGCTGGAAAAAGTTCAGAGGTATGCCACTAAGCTATTTCAGAACTAAGAGGCATGAGTTAAGAGGACAGACTACGTGAACTGCACCTCACGTCGCTGAAAGACAGAAGAGCTAGGGGAGACATGATCACCACATATAAAACAGGGGTAACACGGGCATTCAGGGTGAAAGAAACTTTTGCCATTTGTTTCTGCCTAGTGCGGGAATCGAACCCGCGCCACAGAATTATGATTCCTGCGCGCTATCCACCAGGCTACCAGGCCCCCCCCCCTAAGTGTGCCACTCTCTATGGTGTATAACAGGTCACTGGAAACAGGAGACCTACCAGAAAGTTGGAAGACAGCTAACGTAGTCCCAATATGCAAAAAGGGTGACAGGCAAGAGGCACTGAACTACAGGCCAGTTTCCCTAACTTGTATACCATGCAAGGTGATGGAGAAGATCGTGAGGAAAAGGCTCGTAGAGTATCCGGAGGGAAATAGTTTTGTGACACACCACCAGCATGGGTTCAGAGATGGTAAATCGTGCCTCACAGGTTTAATAGAATTAAGCAACAAAAATTAGGCAAGAAAGAGAAGGGTGGGCAGACTGCATTTTCTTGGACTGTCAGAAAGCTTTTGACACAGTACCTCATAAAAGGCTGTTACAAAAGTTGGAGCAACAGGCAGGAGTAAAAGGTAAGGTGCTCCACTGGATACGGGAGTATCTAAGCAACAGGAAACAGCGAGTAACTGTGAGGGAGGGGGGGACATCAGAGTGGCGAGATGTCACCAGCGGAGTCCCACAGGGCTCTGTACTTGTACCCATCCTGTATCTAATATATGTAAATGATCTTCCAGAGGGTATAGACTCATTCCTCTCAATGTTTGCTGATGATGCAAAAATTATGAGAAGAATCAAGACAGATGAATATAGATAAAAACTACAGGATGACCCGGACAAACTGGAGGAATGGTCTAGAAAATGGCTGCTAAAGTTCAACTCAGGAAAGTGTAAAGTAATGAAATTAGGCGAAGGGAGCAGGAGGCTGAACACAAGGTACCATCTGGGAGGTGAAATCCTGCAAGAATCAAATAGAAAGAAAGATCTGGGGGTTGATATCACACCGAACCTGTCCCCAGAGGCTCATATCAAAAGGATATCATCAGCGGCATATGCTAGGTTAGCCAACATAAGAACTGCCTTTAGAAACTTATGTAAGGAATCGGTCAGGACCCTGTATACCACTTATGTCAGACCAATCCTGGAATATGCAGCTCCAGCTTGGAGTCAATATCTAGTTAAACACAAGACAAAGTTAGAGAAGATTCAGCGGTATGCCACCAGGCTCGTCCCGGAACTGAGATGTATGAGCTACGAGGAAAGGCTAAAGGAGCTGAACCTCACGTCCCTGGAAAACAGAAGAGTAAGGGGAGACATAATAACCACCTACACAATTCTCAAGGGAATAGACAGGGTGGACAAAGCCAAACTCTTCAGCACGGGTGGAACACGAACAAGGGGACACAGGTGGAAACTCAGTACCCAGATGAGCCACAGAGACATGAGAAAGATTTTTTTTCAGTGTCAGAGTAGTTAAGAAGTGGAATGCACTAGGAAGTGATGTGGTGGAGGCTGACTCCATACACAGTTTCAAATGTAGGTATGATAGAGCCCAGTAGGCTCAGGAATCTGTACACCAGTTGATTGACAGTTGAGAGGCGGGACCAAAGAGCTCAACCACAAGCACAACTAGGTGAATACACACACACACACACACACACACACACACACACACACAGCCCAGCACGCGGCCCCAGCATGGAGCCCGTACCTTGTCAAGCACAAGACGAAGCTGGAAAAAGTCCAAAGGTATGCTACTAGACTAGTCCCAGAACTAAGAGGCATGAGTTATGAGGAAAGGCTGCGGGAAATGCACCTCACGACACTGGAAGACAGAAGAGTAAGGGGGGACATGATCACAACCTACAAAATCCTCAGGGGAATCGACCGGGTAAACAAGGACGAACTTTTCAACACTGGTGGGACGCGAACAAGGGGACACAGGTGGAAGCTGAGTACCCAAATGAGCCACAGAGACGTTAGAAAGAACTTTTTCAGTGTCAGAGTAGTTAGCAAATGGAATGCATTAGGAAGTGATGTGGTGGAGGCTGACTCCATTCACAGTTTCAAATGTAGATATGATAGAGCCCAATAGGCTCAGGAATCTGTACACCAGTTGATTGACGGTTGAGAGGCGGGACCAAAGAGCCAGAGCTCAACCCCCGCAAGCACAATTAGGTGAGTACACACACACATACACACACACACCTACCTGGGTTCGACTGCTGGTCAGAGAAGACTGACTGGACGATTGCCGGGTCGTGTTCCAGGAAAAACTGGTGGGTATGGCTTATCATGAATTATGGGAAGGGTAAGCTCTCAGCCTGCTAAGTGATGTCGTCTGCTTCTATACCATCCAGTGCTTCAAAAATAAAGCACAGTATTATGGATACAAGGCACAGAGTGTTATATATACCTGTACCTGGACTGTACCTGGATGGGGTCCTGAGAGTTCCTCTACACCCCCGGCCCGAAGCAAGGCTTGACCCGTGAGAGCGTAGTCCAACAGTATTCTGCATTTCCTTCCATATCGTTTACTCCAGTATGTTGTTACTTTACTATGCAAATTTGGGACCTGGCCCTCCAGTATTTTCCATATTATTTTTATTATATATATATATATATATATATATATATATATATATATATATATATATATATATATATATATATATATTTTGGTAGCAGTCTTTCCTGTAGACATATTATATTAAATATTATATTATTATGACTTTTCGGTCATATTTAATAAAATAAATATATATATATATATATATATATATATATATATATATATATATATATATATATATATATATATATTTGATACCCCCTCTTGTCTCCTTTCTAGAGGGGGTACATTTTGAGAGCTTTGAGACGGTCCCAATAATTTAGGTGTTTTATCTCGTCTATGCGTGCCGTTTATGTTCTCTGTATTCCCTCTATTTCAGCAATGTCTGCCGCTGTTAAGGGGGAAGTGAGTACTAAAGTTGGGACAACACCATTGATTTGAATAGTATTACCATCGTGATGGAATTCCTGGCGCAGAGCTTTACGAATAAAAGACATGAGAGAGAGAGAGAGAGAGAGAGAGAGAGAGAGAGAGAGAGAGAGAGAGAGAGAGAGAGAGAGAGAGAGAGAGAGAGAGAGAGAGAGAGAGAGAGAGAGAGATTGTCCTAGGGACAAAATACTAATCTAACATTCTCCAATGCCTCAGCATCGTCACTCTTCGCTAATAAATGCTAGAGGTTACATAGTGTCAAGAGGCAGTAATGTTGGGATGCCTCATAAGTTGGACACTGAAGCATTTGATGTTGTTCAAGTCTTCCATTACCTTTATTCCTGGGTATATTGGCCAGTTATGCCCGACCTTTCGCAACCCAGAGCCCCGATTTAAGAGACAACGATGGCTGATGACCTTGGTATAGAAATAGAAATAGATTTCACTTCAAGATATCTAATCAACCCGGGTTTGATTCGTAAGGGTACAGTTGAGTCCATCAGTCTGGCTGATCAAACCGTTAACTAGAAGAACTGATTAGAGACAGGGGCGCAGAGATATTGATCCTAGGAACCACGAACAAGTCTTCAATTAAAAACCCCAAATACTGTTAATATGAGCTATGAAGGCCAACAACAGTTATTCAATACAGTTATTTAATAGATCTAGGTTAATGATTAATGTATTGTGGGTTGTTGCCAATGCTGAGCCTCCACCACTTTCTGTGTCAAAAGACAACCTCATATATAGTTCTAATTCAAAGAAATGAACTTTGAGAGGGAAGCTGGTAACCCACAGCACCCTAGTCCAGGAGGCCCGGTCTCTCTCCTGAGGCTCAGAGCTCCTCCGTCAACCGCCAAAATACTTAACATTTCCCCATAAACACGACCGAAGCCTAAACATTCCCAAGACTACCCTGGCGAAGATATTTCGGGGCTCAGCGTCCCCGCGGCCCGGTCCTCGACCAGGCCTCCATTTTGTTACACATCCCCAGAAAGAAGCCCGTAGCTACTGTCTAACTCCCAGGTACCTATTTACTGTTTGGTAACAGGGGGGGCATCAGGGTGAAAGAAACTCATTTGTTTCCGCCTCCACCGGGGATCGAACCCGGAACCTCAGGACTACGAATCCGAAGCGCTGTCCACTCAGCTGTCAGGTCCCTTAAAGCCGTAAACCAAGCTTAAAAGTAAATCCTTAAAAGCCGTAAAGCCAAGCCGTAAACATGGCAAAGACAATCATGGTAAAAACAATCAAGACAAAGACAAACAAGACAAAGACGAACAAGACAAAGACAAACACAAACAAGACAAAGACGAACAAGACAAAGACAAACAAGACAAAGACAAACAAGACAAAAACAAACAAGACAAAGACAAACATGACAAAGACAAACAAGACAAAGACAAACAAGACAAAGACGAACAAGACAAAGACAAACATGACAAAGACGAACAAGACAAAGACAAACAAGACAAAGACAAACAAGACAAAGACAAACAAGACAAAGACAAACATGACAAAGACAAACAAGACAAAGACAAACAAGACAAAGACGAACAAGACAAAGACAAACAAGACAAAGACAAACAAGACAAAGACAAACATGACAAAGACAAACATGACAAAGACAAACAAGACAAAGACAAACATGACAAAGACAAACAAGACAAAGACAAACATGACAAAGACAATCAAGACAAAGACAAACATGACAAAGACAATCAAGACAAAGACAAACATGACAAAGACAAACAAGACAAAGACAAACATGACAAAGACAAACAAGACAAAGACAATCAAGACAAAGACAAACAAGACAAAGACAAACATGACAAAGACAAACAAGACAAAGACAAACATGACAAAGACAAACAAGACAAAGACAAACATGACAAAGACAAACAAGACAAAAACAATCAAGACAAAGACAAACAAGACAAAGACAAACAAGACAAAGACAAACATGGTTCCACTGTAACACCCAGGACCCCCCCCTCCTTAGAGTTCACACCCAGGGAAGCCTTCTCCAAGAGGTCAGCCCAGATGACCTCCGGATTATTTTGTTGTTGATTAAAAAAATTCCTGGGTTAGTCTTAGTCAGCATAGTTTCAAGTATGTAATATTTCATGCAAGGAAATTAGACTCCAGATTCTTGTGTAAACATCCCTGGATCTCCCCCTTTTGGCCAGGTCAGAGGTCAGTCACACACGTAATTAATAACTCCTCTCTTGAAGAGTGTAGGGTGAATGTCAAACAAGCTTTTTGAAATATTTCTTGAGTATTTGTACACTCTTGGTGGGTAGCAACAGCAGATCTCCCCCTCCCCCTTGTGGGGGTTGTATATAGAGGTCCTCTAGGGACTTAGGGAACACAGAGTGCGGGACACCGGGGTCCAGAGAGGGGCTGTGAAGAACATCTCAGCCAGGGAGAGACAGGTTTTAAGGTAATGTGTGTGATCTCTGAGGTTTTGTTCCATGTCCAAATTTCTTAACTTTTTGCCAGTGTTAGAGTAGGATTTATAAGTGGTGATTGACATAATTTTGGTCTCAATAAACTCGTTAAATTTCCCGTCTGAGTCAATTGTTGCATCCTCTTAGCCTTTTGGATATAGTGGCTGACAACCATTTTCATAATTAATGACAGTCATAGAAAGTACTCTCCAAGTCAAGCAATGTTTCTTGCCTCGTTGCTTGATATAGTTTCAATGGTCAAAGGCAGATGGTGGCAGCGTATTTAATCCTTGTGTTAGCATTTCCTTATTGGCAGTGTATCCTTTGGTTCCGGTGTAACCATCATATGTCAGCTCACATTACCGTGTTTCATAACAGTGTTATCAAGTACAACCGTTGAGGAAGTGTTACTCAGGATAAGTAGTGTTTACATTATTAGTTTAGTAACCATTTTAGTGTTCCATTATAGTGGTGTTCCATTATAGTGGCGGTGTTACACCAGAGCCGTGTTACACCACGTGCCCCAAGTTTTCAAGACCCATTTTCCTTTCCCGCCTGAGAGTCCCAGACGGCGACGAGACACACGTGCCGCAAGTGGTCGCAGACGAAGTTAATGAGTGATCCATGACCCGTAAAGACGCAGTAACACACACCATCTTCCCCCACCACCACCCACCAGGTCATCGCGGCCTCGGGAAACGACGGCGCTCTGGCAAGGGCAATATTAAGGACTCCAGACGCCACAAATAACTAGAGAAGCGGCCTCCAGGGGGCGCTGGGCGTCGGGGGCAGCGGTGACCAGAGATGTGCTATGGTGTGGTCTGGTAGGTGGTGGGGATGGTGGTAGGTGGTGGTGGTAGGTGGTGGTGGTAGGTAGGTGGTGGTAGGTAGGTGGTGGTAGGTAGGTGGTGGTAGGTGGTGGTGGTAGGTAGGTGGTGGTAGGTGGTGGTGGTAGGTGGTGGTAGGTGGTGGTGGTAGGTGGTAGGTGGTGGTAGGTGCTGGTAGGTGGTGGTAGGTGCTGGTAGGTGGTGGTAGGTGGTAGGTGCTGGTAGGTGGTGGTAGGTGGTGGTGGTGGTGGTGGTAGGTGGTGGTAGTTCGACCACCTTACATGGTGTGTTGTTTACTGGTCAGTGCGCCGGCCTCATCACCTGGTCTTCTCACACTCCGATATTGGTCCACACCTATGGGGTCACCCCCTCCCCCCTCCTGCTGACACTACCACCACCCTCACACCCTTGCATGGTGGGGAGGGGGGGGCACCACAGGCCTTGCATGGTGGGGGGGGGGGGGGGGGCACCACACCCTTGCATGGTGGGGGAGGGGCACCACACCCTTGCATGATAAGGGGGGCACCACATCCTTGCATGGTAAGGGGGGGCACCACACCCTTGCATGGTAAAGGGGGGGGGCACCACACCCTTGCATGGTAAAGGGGGGGGCACCACACCCTTGCATGGTAAAGGGGGGGGGGGGCACCACACCCTTGCATGGTAAGGGGGGGCACCACACCCTTGCATGGTGGGGGGGAGGGGCACCACACCCTTGCATGGTGGGGGGGCACCACACCCTTGCATGGTGGGGGGGCACCACACCCTTGCATGGTAGGGGGCACCACACCCTTGCATGGTGGGGGGCACCACACCCTTGCATGGTAGGGGGCACCACACCCTTGCATGGTGGGGGGCACCACACCCTTGCATGGTGGTGGTGGGGCACCACACCCTTGCATGGTGGGGGGCACCACACCCTTGCATGGTGGGGGGCACCACACCCTTGCATGGTGGGGGGCACCGCACCCTTGCATGGTGGGGGGGGCACCACACCCTTGCATGGTGGGGGGCACCACACCCTTGCATGGTGGGGGGGCACCACACCCTTGCATGGTGGGGGGCACCACACCCTTGCATGGTGGGGGGCACCACACCCTTGCATGGTGGGGGGCGCCACCATACCCCACCCAACAGTGACCGCTTTTGAAGTGCATCGCGAAATATTCGAAAAAATAATTAATTAGTCTTGTGAAGTACACGGACGAGGGATAAAAGTATAACACCATACAACGTTGGTTTAGGAACCGCAGAGACGCAGCTACGGCCCTGATCAGTGAACACAGAGAGGCCATACAGCTATAGCCCTGATCTGTGAACACAGAGGGGCCATACAGCTATAGCCCTGATCTGTGAACACAGAGGGGCCATACAGCTATAGCCCTGATCTGTGAACACAGAGGGGCCATACAACTAGAGCCCAGATGTGTGAACACAGAGGGGCCATACAACTATAGCCCAGATGTGTGAACACAGAGGGCCCATACAGCTATAGCCCTCATCTGTGAACACATAGACAATGCAATGTCGAAAAAAGTGCAATATTATGCTCGGAGATGTTCAAAAAACGTTTGACAAAGTTTGGCACACAGGCCTAAAATGCAAGATATCGGAGCTGGAGCTTCCAGGGAGATTTACTGCCACATTATGCAGCTTTATAACACACCTGTAGGGTGCCACATCGGCAGCTTTATAACACACCTGTAGGGTGCCACATCGGCAGCTTTATAACACACCTGTAGGGTGCCACATCGGCAGCTTTATAACACACCTGTAGGGTGCCACATCGGCAGCTTTATAACACACCTGTAGGGTGCCACATCGGCAGCTTTATAACACACTTGTAGGGTGCCACATCGGCAGCTTTATAACACACCTGTAGGGTGCCACATCGGCAGCTTTATAACACACCTGTAGGGTGCCACATCGGCAGCTTTATAACACACCTGTAGGGTGCCACATCGGCAGCTTCTTGGGCGACATGTTCTGAAAAGTGGGCTACCACCAGGAAGGTGGCGAGGACTGGGCCCCAACCCTACATGAAGAATTATGTTTGGGGTTGGGGTCAGGTGTGTCAGGCAGGGCCATCAAAGCCGCTACTGGCCAACAACACAATGACACCAATTGAATACACAACTCTGAAAAACAATGAAAATTTTTTTTATAAATAAACAAAAGTTCCAGATAGTACACCTTGTAAACAAAGTGACCCTTATCGTTTACAACCGCATAATGCAGTTGTGGTTGTAACTCAAGATAAATAGAACAGATACACAAATTCACGTAAAGGATAGCATAAACACAGTAAAAGATTCCTTAGGAAAACTGAGGAGATTGCGAAGCCTTAGCCCGAACATAGAGCTTCCCTTATAAACAGCTCTAGTCCGGCCGCATATAGCATATCCTCCATTACCACCACATATCTTAACGATAATCAACATGCTAAAACTACAACCATTGTGAAGGAGACGCAAAGCATTGCACGCTAAGGAGAGCAGCAAAACACCGTCCACCATATGATCAGACAATCCAGGAGCTCCATGAACTCCTGAACATACAGCCACTAAACATCAGACTGCAGCACCAAGCCATCAGGGTGTGGAACACCATCCAAATGTTAGAGGACCCAATGTTTGAAAGATTACTCCAAGATGAGACGCCCCACTCCCACAGCTGGTAGCCCAAGATGAGACGCCCCGCTCCCACAGCTGGTGGCCCAAGATGAGACGCCCCGCTCCCACAGCTGGTAGCCCAAGATGAGACGCCCCGCTCCCACAGCTGGTGGCCCAAGATGAGACGCCCCGCTCCCACAGCTGGTGGCCCAAGATGAGACGCCCCGCTCCCACAGCTGGTAGCCCAAGATGAGACGCCCCGCTCCCACAGCTGGTGGCCCAAGATGAGACGCCCCGCTCCCACAGCTGGTGGCCCAAGATGAGACGCCCCGCTCCCACAGCTGGTAGCCCAAGATGAGACGCCCCGCTCCCACAGCTGGTGGCCCAAGATGAGACGCCCCGCTCCCACAGCTGGTAGCCCAAGATGAGACGCCCCGCACCCACAGCTGGTGGCCCAAGATGAGACGCCCCGCTCCCACAGCTGGTGGCCCAAGATGAGACGCCCCGCTCCCACAGCTGGTAGCCCAAGATGAGACGGCCCACTCCCACAGCTGGTGGCCCAAGATGAGACGCCCCGCTCCCACAGCTGGTGGCCCAAGATGAGACGCCCCGCTACCACAGCTGGTGGCCCAAGATGAGACGCCCTGCTCCCACAGCTGGTGGCCCAAGATGAGACGCCTCGCTCCCACAGCTGGTGGCCCAAGATGAGACGCCCCGCTCCCACAGCTGGTGGCCCAAGATGAGACGCCCCGCTCCCACAGCTGGTGGCCCAAGATGAGACGCCCCGCTCCCACAGCTGGTGGCCCAAGATGAGACGCCCCGCTCCCACAGCTGGTGGCCCAAGATGAGACGCCCCGCTCCCACAGCTGGTGGCCCAAGATGAGACGCCCCGCTCCCACAGCTGGTGGCCCAAGATGAGACGCCCCGCTCCCACAGCTGGTGGCCCAAGATGAGATGCCCCGCTCCCACAGCTGGTAGCCCAAGATGAGACGCCCCGCTCCCACAGCTGGTGGCCCAAGATGAGACGCCCCGCTCCCACAGCTGGTGGCCCAAGATGAGACGCCCCGCTCCCACAGCTGGTGGCCCAAGATGAGACGCCCCACTCCCACAGCTGGTGGCCCAAGATGAGACGCCCCGCTCCCACAGCTGGTGGCCCAAGATGTGACGCCCCGCTCCCACAGCTGGTGGCCCAAGATGAGACGCCCCGCTCCCACAGCTGGTGGCCCAAGATGAGACGCCCCGCTCCCACAGCTGGTGGCCCAAGATGAGACGCCCCGCTCCCACAGCTGGTGGCCCAAGATGAGACGCCCCGCTCCCACAGCTGGTGGCCCAAGATGAGACGCCCCGCTCCCACAGCTGGTGGCCCAAGATGAGACGCCCCGCTCCCACAGCTGGTGGCCCAAGATGAGACGCCCCGCTCCCACAGCTGGTGGCCCAAGATGAGACGCCCCGCTCCCACAGCTGGTGGCCCAAGATGAGACGCCCCGCTCCCACAGCTGGTGGCCCAAGATGAGACGCCCCGCTCCCACAGCTGGTGGCCCAAGATGAGACGCCCCGCTCCCACAGCTGGTGGCCCAAGATGAGACGCCCCGCTCCCACAGCTGGTGGCCCAAGATGAGACGCCCCGCTCCCACAGCTGGTGGCCCAAGATGAGACGCCCCGCTCCCACAGCTGGTGGCCCAAGATGAGACGCCCCGCTCCCACAGCTGGTGGCCCAAGATGAGACGCCCCGCTCCCACAGCTGGTGGCCCAAGATGAGACGCCCCGCTCCCACAGCTGGTGGCCCAAGATGAGACGCCCCGCTCCCACAGCTGGTGGCCCAAGATGAGACGCCCCGCTCCCACAGCTGGTGGCCCAAGATGAGACGCCCCGCTCCCACAGCTGGTGGCCCAAGATGAGACGCCCCGCTCCCACAGCTGGTGGCCCAAGATGAGACGCCCCGCTCCCACAGCTGGTGGCCCAAGATGAGACGCCCCGCTCCCACAGCTGGTGGCCCAAGATGAGACGCCCCGCTCCCACAGCTGGTGGCCCAAGATGAGACGCCCCGCTCCCACAGCTGGTGGCCCAAGATGAGACGCCCCGCTCCCACAGCTGGTGGCCCAAGATGAGACGCCCCGCTCCCACAGCTGGTGGCCCAAGATGAGACGCCCCGCTCCCACAGCTGGTGGCCCAAGATGAGACGCCCCGCTCCCACAGCTGGTGGCCCAAGATGAGACGCCCCGCTCCCACAGCTGGTGGCCCAAGATGAGACGCCCCGCTCCCACAGCTGGTGGCCCAAGATGAGACGCCCCACTCCCACAGCTGGTGGCCCAAGATGAAAACCCCGCCCCACAGCTGGTGGCCCAAGATGAAAACCCCGCCCCACAGCTGGTGGCCCAAGATGAAAACCCCGCCCCACAGCTGGTGGCCCAAGATGAAAACCCCGCCCCACAGCTGGTGGCCCAAGATGAAAACCCCGCCCCACAGTACATAATTCCCAGATGAAACGCTGATCAGAAATTCCCTCCCCGTACTACATAGAAAATAAATATATGAATATATATATATATATATATAAGTAATTAATTATATAATAAAGGTCCTTAAAAGGAAGATCAAAACGTATGGAAGCATCGGAGTTTGTGTATATATAAATGCTACACAGTATCCATCTATAGACATCCATGTGTGCTGATGTGCATGTGAAGCTTGCACATAGCACACATGTGCAAGCTTCACATGTGTGACATAGCTTGACAAGAGAGAACAAGCTTAGCTTAGCTGCCAACACCCACAGATGGTGTCAGCAAGGCGGACAGTCCGCCTCCTGTCATAACTTACACTATATTTCCCATTTCCAAACTTCTCCCTTCACCTGTCCCTCTCTTTACTGCCAAATAAAGAGGTGCCTCTGCGTTATGTTGCACCGCTCTGCCCTATATCCCGTCAGTGCCAGCCAGTGCCAGCCAGTGCCAGGGCTTCAGCTTCACGTCCGACGCCAGTGCCACGTTTGAGTGAAGCTAACAGTGAGGCAGTGGGGGGGAACCAGTCCCCTGACGAACATATCATGAATATATCCTGGCGCATGATGCTTTATACCATATATATTGTCAGGACAGTGAACAACGTGAGCAGGGTGAACGTCAGCAGAGTGAACAACGTCAGCAGAGTGAACAACGTGAGCAGGGTGAACGTCAGCAGAGTGAACAACGTCAGCAGAGTGAACAGCGTGAGCAGGGTGAACGTCAGCAGAGTGAACAACGTCAGAAGAGTGAACAACGGCAGCAGGGTGAACGTCAGCAGAGTGAACAACGTCAGCAGAGTGAACAACGTGAGCAGGGTGAACGTCAGCAGAGTGAACAACGTGAGCAGAGTGAACAACGTCAGCAGAGTGAACAACGTCAGCAGAGTGAACAACGTGAGCAGGGTGAACGTCAGCAGAGTGAACAACGTCAGCAGGGTGAACGTCAGCAGAGTGAACAACGTCAGCAGGGTGAACGTCAGCAGAGTGAACAACGTCAGCAGGGTGAACGTCAGCAGAGTGAACAACGTCAGAAGAGTGAACAACGTCAGCAGAATGAACAAACGTCAGCAGAGTGAACAACGTCAGCAGAGTGAACAACGTCAGAAGAGTGAACAACGTCAGCAGGGTGAACAACGTCAGAAGAGTGAACAACGTCAGAAGAGTGAACAACGTCAGCAGAGTGAACAACGTCAGAAGAGTGAACAACGTCAGCAGAGTGAACAACGTCAGAAGAGTGAACAACGTCAGCAGAGTGAACAACGTCAGCAGAGTGAACAACGTCAGCAGAGTGAACAACGTCAGCAGAGTGAACAACGTCAGCAGAGTGAACAACGTCAGCAGAGTGAACAACGTCAGAAGAGTGAACAACGTCAGCAGAGTGAACAACGTCAGCAGAGTGAACAACGTCAGAAGAGTGAACGTCAGAAGAGTGAACAACGTCAGCAGAGTGAACAACGTCAGCAGAGTGAACAACGTCAGCAGAGTGAACAACGTCAGAAAAGTGAACAACGTCAGCAGAGTGAACAACGTCAGAAGAGTGAACAACGTCAGAAGAGTGAACAACGTCAGCAGAGTGAACAACGTCAGAAGAGTGAACAACGTCAGCAGGGTGAACGTCAGCAGAGTGAACAACGTCAGCAGGGTGAACGTCAGAAGAGTGAACAACGTCAGAAGAGTGAACAACGTCAGCAGAGTGAACACACGTCAGCAGAGTGAACAACGTCAGCAGGGTGAATAACGTCAGCAGAGTGAACAACATCAGCAGAGTGAACAACGTCAGCAGAGTGAACAACGTCAGCAGAGTGAACAACATCAGCAGAGTGAACAACATCAGCAGAGTGAACAACGTCAGCAGAGTGAACACACATCAGAAGAGTGAATAACGTCAGCAGAGTGAACAACATCAGCAGAGTGAACAACGTCAGCAGAGTGAACACACGTCAGCAGAGTGAACAACGTCAGCAGAGTGAACACACGTCATAAGAGTGAACAACGTCAGAAGAGTGAACCTCGTCAGAAGAGTGAACAACGTCAGAAGAGTGAACAACGTCAGCAGAGTGAACAACGTCAGCAGAGTGAACAACGTCAGAAGAGTGAACAACGTCAGAAGAGTGAACAACGTCAGAAGAGTGAACAACGTCAGCAGAGTGAACAACGTCAGAAGAGTGAACAACGTCAGAAGAGTGAACAACGTCAGAAGAGTGAACAACGTCAGAAGAGTGAACAACGTCAGCAGAGTGAACAACGTCAGCAGAGTGAACAACGTCAGAGTGAACAACGTCAGCAGAGTGAACAACGTCAGAAGAGTGAACAACGTCAGAAGAGTGAACAACGTCAGAAGAGTGAACAACGTCAGCAGAGTGAACAACGTCAGAAGAGTGAACAACGTCAGCAGAGTGAACAACGTCAGCAGAGTGAACAACGTCAGAAGAGTGAACAACGTCAGAAGAGTGAACAACGTCAGCAGAGTGAACAACGTCAGAAGAGTGAACAACGTCAGAAGAGTGAACAACGTCAGCAGAGTGAACAACGTCAGAAGAGTGAACAACGTCAGAAGAGTGAACAACGTCAGCAGGGTGAACGTCAGCAGAGTGAACAACGTCAGCAGAGTGAACACACGTCAGCAGAGTGAACAACGTCAGCAGAGTGAACAACGTCAGCAGGGTGAACAACGTCAGCAGAGTGAACAACGTCAGAAGAGTGAACAACGTCAGCAGAGTGAACAACGTCAGCAGAGTGAACACACGTCAGCAGAGTGAACAACGTCAGAAGAGTGAACAACGTCAGCAAAGTGAACACACGTCAGCAGAGTGAACAACGTCAGCAGGGTGAATAACGTCAGCAGAGTGAACAACGTCAGCAGAGTGAACAACATCAGCAGAGTGAACAACGTCAGCAGAGTGAACACACATCAGAAGAGTGAACAACGTCAGCAGAGTGAACAACGTCAGCAGAGTGAACAACGTCAGCAGAGTGAACAACGTCAGCAGAGTGAACAACATCAGCAGAGTGAACAACGTCAGCAGAGTGAACACACGTCAGCAGAGTGAACAACGTCAGCAGAGTGAACACACGTCAGAAGAGTGAACAACGTCAGAAGAGTGAACACACGTCAGCAGAGTGAACAACGTCAGCAGAGTGAACAACGTCAGCAGAGTGAACAACGTCAGAAGAGTGAACAACGTCAGAAGAGTGAACAACGTCAGCAGAGTGAACAACGTCAGCAGAGTGAACAACATCAGCAGAATGAACAACGTCAGCAGAGTGAACACACGTCAGAAGAGTGAACAACGTCAGAAGAGTGAACACACGTCAGCAGAGTGAACAACGTCAGCAGAGTGAACAACGTCAGCAGAGTGAACATCAGCAGAGTGAACAACATCAGCAGAGTGAACAACATCAGCAGAGTGAACAACGTCAGCAGAGTGAACACACGTCAGAGTGAACGTCAGCAGAGTGAACAACGTCAGCAGAGTGAACAACGTCAGCAGAGTGAACAACGTCAGCAGAGTGAACACACGTCAGCAGAGTGAACACACGTCAACAGAGTGAACAACGTCAGCAGAGTGAACACACGTCAACAGAGTGAACAACGTCAGCAGAGTGAACAACATCAGCAGAGTGAACAACGTCAGCAGAGTGAACAACGTCAGCAGAGTGAACACACGTCAGCAGAGTGAACACACGTCAGCAGAGTGAACAACGTCAGAAGAGTGAACAACATCAGGATAATGATGTTATCTCCACTGGTTATCTCTAGACTGTGACACCACTGGCAATCTTCAGCAGTTATAACAGAAAATTGGTATGAAGATATCTGCATCCCATTGGTTAGTTGTGACGTAGCAAGCTTACCATGGCAGGTGTGGAGGACAATGACATCCTCCACACCTGCACACAAGCTTACTATCGCAGGTGTGGAGGACAATGACATCCTCCACATCTGCTCACAATCTTAACATCGCAGATGTAGAGGACAACGGCATCCTCCACACCTGCTCACAAGCTTAACATGGCAGGTGTGGAGGACAATGGCATCCTCCACACCTGCTCACAAGCTTGCTGTTACCTCCGCCAGAGGGCAGAGTACCTGGTGATCACTCCCAACAACTTCCATTGTTGTCACCTGACAACCAACCTTTTACAGCAGGTGTGTGAGGCAGCAGGTGTGTGAGGCAGCAGGTGTGTGAGGCAGCAGGTGTGTGAGGCAGCAAGTGGGGGAGGCAGCAGGTGGGTGAGGCAGCAAGTGGGGAAGGCAGCAAGTGGGGGAGGCAGCAGGTGGGGGAGGCAGCAGGTGGGGGAGGCAGCAGGTGGGTGAGGCAGCAAGTGGGGGAGGCAGCAGGTGGGTGAGGCAGCAGGTGTGTGAGGCAGCAGGTGGGTGAGGCAGCAAGTGGGGGAGGCAGCAGGTGGGTGAGGCAGCAAGTGGGGGAGGCAGCAAGTGGGGGAGGCAGCAGGTGGGGGAGGCAGCAGGTGGGGGAGGCAGCAGGTGGGGGAGGCAGCAGGTGGGTGAGGCAGCAAGTGGGGGAGGCAGCAGGTGGGGGAGGCAGCAGGTGGGGGAGGCAGCAGGTGGGTGAGGCAGCAGGTGTGTGAGGCAGCAGGTGGGTGAGGCAGCAGGTGGGTGAGGCAGCAGGTGGGTGAGGCAGCAGGTGTGTGAGGCAGCAGGTGGGTGAGGCAGCAGGTGTGTGAGGCAGCAGGTGGGTGAGGCAGCAGGTGTGTGAGGCAGCAGGTGGGTGAGGCAGCAGGTGTGTGAGGCAGCAGGTGGGTGAGGCAGCAGGTGTGTGAGGCAGCAGGTGTGTGAGGCAGCAGGTGGGTGAGGCAGCAAGTGGGGGAGGCAGCAAGTGGGGGAGGCAGCAGGTGGGTGAGGCAGCAGGTGTGTGAGGCAGCAGGTGGGTGAGGCAGCAGGTGTGTGAGGCAGCAGGTGTGTGAGGCAGCAGGTGGGTGAGGCAGCAGGTGGGGGAGGCAGCAGGTGGGTGGTGTCCAACTCAGTATGAGGGAGGTGAGAGAAGAGTGAGGGAGGAGTGAGGGAGGGGTGAGGGAGGGGTGAGGGAGGGGTGAGGGAGGGGTGAGGGAGGGGTGAGGAAGGAGTGAGGGACGGGTGAGGGAGGGGTGAGGGAGGGTTGAGGGAGGGGTGAGGGAAGAGTGAGGTAAGGGTGAGGGAGGGTTGAGGGAGGGGTGAGGGAAAGGTGAGGGAGGAGTGAGGGAGGAGTGAGGGAGGAGTGAGGGAGGAGTGAGGGAGGGGTGAGGGAGGGGTGAGGGAGGGGTGTGGGAGGGGTGAGAGGGGTGTGGGAGGGGTGAGAGGGGTGTGGGAGGGGTGAGAGGGGTGTGGGAAGGGTAAGAGGGGTGTGGGAGGGGTGACAGGGGTCTGGGAGGGGTGTGGGAGGGGTGAGAGGGGTGAGAGGGGTGTGGGAGGGGAGAAGGAGAGGGAGGGAGGGGGGGGGGAGAGGGAGGGAGGGGGGGAGAGGGAGGGGACAAGTTCAAGGTGAGGGAGTGTGAGTGATGGCAGTGGTAACATCCTCCTGGTGTGGGGGGCGGGGGGGGGGCACTCTAACCCCCCACAATAACACACTTCCTTCACTCCCCTGCCTCCCCACCCTGGCCTTCCCTGCCTCCCCACCCTGGCCTCCCCTGCCTCCCCCACCCTGGCCTCCTCTGCCTCCCCACCCTGGCCTCCCCTGCCTCCCCACACTGGCCGCCCCTGCCTCCCCACCCTGGCCGCCCCTGCCTCCCCACCCTGGCTTCATCTACAACACAATAACCTCCACAGCAACACAATAACCTCCACAGCAACACAATAACCTCCACAGCAACACAATAACCACCACAGCAACACAATAACCTCCACAGCAACACACAGCAACACAATAACCTCCACAGCAACACAATAACCACCACAGCAACACAATAACCTCCACAGCAACACACAGCAACACAATAACCACCACAGCAACACAATAACCTCCACAGCAACACAATAACCACCACAGCAACACAATAACCTCCACAGCAACACAACAACCATCACAGCAACACAATAACCTCCACAGCAACACAATAACCTCCACAGCAACACAACAACCATCACAGCAACACAATAACCTCCACAGCAACACAATAACCTCCACAGCAACACAATAACCTCCACAGCAACACAACAACCATCACAGCAACACAATAACCTCCACAGCAACACAATAACCTCCACAGCAACACAATAACCTCCACATCAACACAATAACCTCCACAGCAACACAATAACCTCCACAGCAACACAATAACCTCCACAGCAACACAATAACCTCCACAGCAACACAATAACCTCCACAGCAACACAATAACCCCCACAGCAACATAATAACCTCCACAGCAACACACATCAACACAATAACCTCCACAGCAACACAATAACCTCCACAGCAACACAATAACCTCCACAGCAACACAATAACCTCCACAGCAACACAATAACCCCTACAGCAACATAATAACCTCCACAGCAACACACATCAACACAATAACCTCCACAGCAACACAATAACCTCCACAGCAACACAATAACCTCCACAGCAACACAATAACCTCCACAGCAACACAATAACCTCTACAACAACAAGCAAATTCCATACAGTTTCGTCCCCTGAACACAGTGTCAAAACCCATATATGTTTAATTAATGTTAAGGGAAACTTTCTGGGCGAGTCGGTCATGGGGGAGGGAGGGATTGAGGGAGGGAGGGATGGAGGGAGGGAGGGAGGGAGGGAGGGAGGGAGGGATTGAGGGGGGGATTGTGGGAGGGATTGAGGGAGGGATGGAGGGGGGGAGGGAAGGGGGGGAGGGAAGGGGGGGAGGGAAGGGGGGGAGGGATGGAGGGGAGGGAAGGGGGGAGGAAGGGAGGGGAGAGAGGGGAGGGATGGAGGGAGTTAGGAGGAGATGGAGGGTTAGGAGAGAGGGAGATAAGGTGTATCAGGTTCTTAAAGTGTTAAGGAACAAACGGGAACAGTGATAACAAATGGCGGGGAGGGGGGGGGGGAGGGGTGTTGGCTGGTGGTGGAGGCGACTGGCTGAACACCCGTCGTCTCCACCACCCCCAGCTTCAACACCTGCTGGAACACCTCCACAAACATCAACAACATCTTCAACACCAACATCAACACCTGTAACACCACCACCACAATCAACACCTGCACCACCACCACTACTATCAACACCTGCAACACCACCACCAACACCTGCATTACAACCACCACCACCACCACCTGCAACACCACCATAAACACCTACAACACTACCACCATCATCAACACCTGCAACACTACTACCACCATCAACACCTGCAACACTACCACCACCACCAACACCTGCAACACCACCATCAACACCTGCAACACCACTACCATCATCAACACCTGCAACACCACAACCATCATCAACATCTGCAACACCACAACCATCATCAACACCTGCAACACCACAACCATCATCAACACCTGCAACACCACAACCATCATCAACACCTGCAACACCACCACCACCATCAACACCTGCAACACCACCATCAACACCTGCAACACCACCATAAACACCTGCAACACCACCACCATCATCAACACCTGCAACACCACCACCATCAACACC